ATGCTCTCAAGACTGAGTTTACCAGAATAAAAACAAAAAAGGTTTGCGTTCAGAATTTTACAGTAGTAAATCTTTTTTACATATTGTTTTAATCTAGCCAAATGTATAAATTTGAAATATTTAATTCAATATTTTCTAATTAACCAAAAATTGATAGAGAACAGTAGTAACTTGTATTTTTATTATATCTGTTGTTGCGGCAATGATGCACGCATGCGTACATGGGGTTTTCACTTAGTCACGTGATTCATCCTCGGCAGTATGGCGGAAGTGAAACGTGTTTTGGTCTGAGCTCGCACTGTTAAACGATTAAAAACAGCCTCATTTTTTCGGCTAACATTAATTTTTGTTAGCTGGAAGGCTAACGGTTAGCAAAAACAGACCATTTTCAAGATGGCGGTTATGTTTAGGTTTCGTTGTAAATCATGAAGTAATGTTTTTGTTGCGTTTGTGAGCTGTAAAACTTCATTACCCGTCATCCCGTGCGTTAGTAGTCACGAGCTGATGAACTATGCGCGAGCTGCTGACAGTTGCTGCGTAACATTCAAGCTAATGGATTTTCGTCGAGAGTGATGGGAGTTGAACAAACTTGAAACTTTTCGGTTTTAGTCTTTGTTCAGCACGTTCACCAGGATGCGGGTAAGTTTTACGTTAAATTGTTCAAATGTTCAAATTATATACAGCACTTTACACTACAGAAAAGTTATTTTTGCTTTAAAATTCGTCGAATAATTGATTTTTAAGTGTCCCGGCATGTGTTAAAAGTAGCGCAAAACGAAGCCTGCAGCTTTGTTCTGAATTAAATGTTCGTAACTTGTTGCAGCTGTCAGCACGTGAAACCAATATGATGATTAAAATGTTTGTAAACACCCACCGCTGCCTTAAAACGACAGACCAGTGATATATTCTGGTAAATCTTGCGACACAGTGAAACAAAACAATAAAATTATCAGTCTCTTAACAATGATCAGAAAACTTTGCTTTAAAAGTGATAAAAATTAGATTTTTTTAAAAAACCTACTGTATTTAGAATAAGAAACAAACAAATCACATTCTGCGCATGCGCAGAAACGCATCACATTAATGCGCATGCGCATAACCCCAAACTTACCATAAAAAAATTAATAAATGTTTTACTTTTTCTGAGCACAACTTGTAAAAAACAAAACTTTTTTTAGTGTAGTTCATGCGACTGACCATTTTTATATAAGTGTTTTATATTTGATCGTTTGCTTCAATTTAGTCTTATGTTTATGAGCTGTATAAGCACAAAACAAATTTCAAACCAAATCTTTCGTCGTGTAAAACTTTAATCTTTGTACCAACAAGGTGATTTCCAAAGAGATTGGCTAAAGATTTGTCAAACTGGGTGGGGTGTCCTTTTAAAAAGTTTTATGAAACATGAGAAACAGAAAAAAAGTCAGATGTTACAGTAAAAAAACAATTTGTCTGAAACTAATCAAATTTTAAACATATCGGGTAAAATTTAAAATCTTAGTTTTGGAGCAGAAGTGGTTTTGGCTTCAGAGTTGGCCAAGTGTGGTGAGAAGCCCGCGATAAATAAAGTTCCAGGGTTTTAAGCAAAATGAGAATTAAAACATTTTACATTTAAAATGTTGTGTTGGAGGCCAGAAGATGTTAGGAAGGGCCGTGTTTGGCCCTCGGGCCTTAAGTTTGTCACGTGATGTGAAAGTGGGTCTAATGTCCTGGTTTCAGTTTATTTTTAAAGGCCGCCTCTTTGGACAGCTGAAACTCTGCGGTCCGTTCTCATGAGTTTCTTTTTGTCCGGATCGTGCAGAACCACAGATCACCTGGTTCCACCTGGGTTTGTTTGACGAGCTCCCAGCCGACAGCTCGTCTGTGTTGAACTTTTCACAGTTAGCTGCTGAACCAGACCAGAACCACGTGGAGTCAGCTTTTAGTGGAACCAAAAAGGTTCAGAAAGTGACATAAAGCCAGGGAGTCCATTTTGATTTTTTACTCAGGTCTGTAAACGTGAACAGATTTTCCACTTCCGGTCTTAAATTTTTTTTTGATTGCGTCTATTTTTTGTTCTTTCGCCAAGTTTTATGAGCCAATGGTTCTGTGTCCCAAGATGTTGCCAGAGAAACTTTTCATTTCCAGTGAAAATTCAGCTGAAACTGAGTTGTCAACGTTAAAACGAGCAGAGCAGAAACGAGAAAAAAATGTAGCTAAAAGATAAAATGAGCAAAACTGTAGCTAAATGCTAAAATGGGCACATTTGGAGCTGAAAGCTAAATAAATGAGCTAAACTGTAGCTGTGTTTCAGCTGACCATCAGCTGTGTTTCAGCTGACCATCAGCTGTGTTTCAGCTGACCATCAGCTGAAACACAGCTGATCGTCAGCTGTGTTTCAGCTGATGGCGTGAACAAAAGCTGCCATCTTTGTTGTCAGAACGGTGTCAGGTTAGCCGTCCTTGTGTAGCGTCTTTGTTCGCGTACAGAAACAGCTGAGGGACCAAAGTGAGGATCAAAGTTTTTTTTTCTGATCTTTCAAACTGGTCCATTTATTTGGACTGGGAGGCTCCGTCAGTCGCCTGCAGCTCAGGTAGAACGTGTCTCGTTCTACTGCGAGGCGAAGGTTTTAAACGTCAGTTCAAATAAACAGACGTCTTTTACCGGAGAGCTTCAGTCCTTCAGAGGACGGGCGTGTGAGACGGAGCAGCTCATCAGATGATGTCACTTTCCAAAAGTGCAACAAGTTGTTTTGCAGGTGAGCAGAACCCGGGTTTGTCTCAGTCTGCGGTTCCAAACCAACGTTGGGACGAGGTGTTGTCACTCGAACCAACTGGTTAAATGATTATAACGGTCTGTCAACAATAATAAAAGGTTTAGGACTAATGAGGGACGGAGTTGAGCCCTGCGCCGATTCCTCTCGGCTGCGATCGTCAAACGGGTCACGTTTCTTAAAATAAATAAATAAAACTGGTCCAAACCTAAAACAAACGTGAACTCGCGTAGATTAAATCCTAAACGTGGGAATCTGTAGATTCAACTTTGATTTGAGCAATTATGTAAACAAACAAAGTGTGAGCACAGATTTACATATTGAACCATAGACAAACACAAATTTATTGATTTTCATGCCCATTAACGCGTCAAAACTATTAATCACATGCTGCTGAGCAGTTAGCATCGATGCTAATTTAACATTGAAAACATCATAGAAAAGCTAACGCTGTTAGCGTCGTACCTCTGGACATGCACAAAACAAACGTTTTAAAGTTTTATTTAATAATAACGTTGTTTGTGCTGAAATGACCTCGTTTCCTTTCAGATGACCTTTGAGGCGTCGAGCAGCGTGACGCTGCTGTTCAGCTTCTGGGACGTGCACGGCCCTGCAGGTGAGCCACACCTGAAACCTCAGAACCAGCTGGTCTCTGTGTCCAACAGGACCAGGATGAGCTTTTATTGTGTTGAAGAATCTGATCTCTGCTGTTGAACAAGTAGGTCAGAGAGAATATGAACACCTGTACAGGTGTGTCCAAATGTTGAAGATCATTTTCCATTTTAACTCTGGTAACGTTCGCCCGCTTCCAGCCTAAAAGTTGTTTTGACTCCAGATAAGAGATGAAATATAAATTTATTTCTCTTTTGACCTTTTTTCCCCGTCCTGCAGGAATGATCCTGTCGGTGCTCATCGTCTTCCTGCTGACCGTCTTCTACGAAGTCCTCAAAGTTTGGAGGGTGTGGCTGGGGAGCAGGTCCAAACTGGTCCCAGCTGCGCCGTCTGACGCCTCGTCCTGCAGCGAGAGCTGTCCCCCCGAGGCCTCGCTGAGCCCCGCAGAGCCCCCGTCTGACACCAGAGGGTCCAGAAACAGGTCAGGCTTCTTCTGACTTCTGCTTGGAACGAGCTCGTGAGGAACCTGGAGCTTAAACTGGTTTCTCCTCAGTTTCAAAGCTCAGCTGGACTTTGTTGTGATTTTTAAAGTGGTCTCGATCAACAGATGTTTTCTGAGGCTGCTTGTTGAACCACTTTGGTCTTTCAGACATGAAAAGGCTCCTAAACGTAGGGTCCGCCGCAGCAAAAACCACATTTTAAATTGGATATTTAGATGGTTTTTCATTAAGTGGATCCTTTAATAAATAAAAAAAAAGCATCATTTGACTCAAAGGAGAATTTTGACTCGTGCTGCAAACTTGTGCTTCTCTCAAGGTTTTCTTGTTTAAACAGCAGAAGGTAAAATGAGACAAATGTTTAAAAAGAAGAAACCTTGACAAAAACTGAGAAGCTATTTGAAAGAGTACCAATGGGGTTTAAGACTTTTGCACAGAAAGCAGCTTTCTTTGCTCTTAAAGGGATAGTCTGGTTATTTTTCAAGTTATGTCTTGTCAAATCGCACATCATGAAAAAAAGGGCATAAGGCTTCATCCAGGCTGTGCTAATGGTCAATTAAACGTGGAGGTGGGGGGGTACTGTCATGATCCAACTTATTAAACCTCTAAATGTGGCCCTCCTTAACATCTTATCTGGCCCTCAATATGTTATTTTGAATTTAAAATACTTTTGTCACTTTAATTTTTTTCAGTAATCTTTTGATTATGTCAAAAATGCAACAAGAACATCAAATGAGACCAGTCAGACTCTTGTTGAGTATCAAACTTGACTTAATGTAGATTCCGAAACTGGCCCTTACTTTGAAAAAGGTTTTAATTTTGACCCTTTTGTAAGTGGGTTTGACACGTCTGCGTTAATCCTTCAGAGTCAAATCGTGTGTTGGAGAAGAGGAACATTTCAAACCTGTAGGATGGTGGCCTGAGGGGACAGGATTGGACACTCCTCTAGTTTTTCCTTAACCAAACGTCTGCGTTTGTCGTCTTCTTCCATCTTTTCCCTCTTCAGGGCTCATCCTCCTCCACCTGTCCTCTCTAACTGCATCCTCTCAACATCTTCATTTCTGCTACTTCCAGTTCTGTCTCCTGTCTTTTTGTCCATGTCTCTGTCTCCAGACCATACAACATATCTGGTCTCACCACTGTCTTGTAAACATTTCCTTTGACCTTTGCTGACACTTTCGTTGCAAATCACTCCTGAAACTTTTCTCCATCCACTCCATCCTGTCTGGACTCTCTTCTTCACCTCTTTACCACATTCCCTATTTTCATGGACAGTGGACCCCAAGTCCTTGAAGTCCTGCACCTTTGTGACCTCTGCTCCTTGTAGCCTCACTGTTCCACCGGCCTCCCTCTCATTTACACACATGGACTCTGTCTTACTACGGCTGACGTTCATTCCTCTTTCAAGTGCATACCTCCACCTCTCCAAGTTCTCTTCCACCCGTTTCCTGTTCTCATCACAATGTCATCTGCAAACATCGTCCACGGAGATTCCTGCCTGACCTCATCTGTTAGTCGAACCATCACCAAAGCAAACAAGAGGAGGCTCAGAGCCGATCCTTGATGCACTCCCACCTCCACCTTGAAGCGATCCGTCACTCATACAGCACATCTCACTACTGTCCTGTTGTCCTCATACATGTCCTGAGCCAGTCTAACATACTTCTCTGCCACACCACACCTCCTCCCTTGGCACCCTGTCAGATGCTTTCTCTAAATCCACAATGGAGTTCTTTCTGACCTCCTCTACTTCTCCATCAGCATCCTCAAATCAAAGATGGCATCTGTGGTGCTCTTTGTCATGAACCCATACTGCTGCTCACAGATAGTCCAAGTCTTGCTTCAACAACTCTCTCCCAGATCTTCATCGTGTGGCTCATCAACTTCATTCCCCTGTAGTTGCTACAACTCTGTACATCACCCTTGTTCTTAAAAATGTCCACCAGCACACTTCTCCATTCCTGAGGCGTTTCTCACCCTCAAATATTCCATTAAATATTTGAGTCAAAAACCTCACTGCCATGTCTCCAAGACATTTCCAAACCTCCACTGGTCATCAGGTCCTACAGCCTTCCTCCTCCATTCTTTTCAGACTTCACCCTCACTAATCTTTCCCACTTCCTGGTCCAGCTTCTACGACCTCTACTCTTCTTTCTTTCATTCTGTTCATTCATTAGCTCTTCAAAGTACTCCTTCCGTTTTCCCGTCACACTGTCCTCACTTGTTAGAACATTATCATTACAAGTCAAACCTGCTGCACATCCTTTCCAGCCTGATCATTGCCAGTCAGTACAAGTCCTTCTCTTTAGTCTCCAGCCTCCCATACAACTCCTCTCCTTCCCATCTCCTTATCTTCCTGCCTTCTGTCACATTTATTCTTGGCTAACCTCTTTCTTCTTTGAGGTTACAAACTTCTGCATATGTGAGGAGCTGCAACAGACCGGTGTAGTAACACCATGGTTTTATAATTCTGTTAGTCCAGCCTGGATGAAGACTTGGCTCTTTTTCGAACATCACTTTAAAAGTGACCAGACAGTCCCTTTAAGGGGCTCTAGTCCTGTTGATCAACAACTTGTACCGTGTTAAAATAAAAACTGACCCTGCGGCTCCTCCTCCCCAGCTGGTTGCTGCACGCCGCCCAGACGGCGCTCCACGTGCTGCAGGTGACCCTGGGCTACATGCTGATGCTCTCCGTCATGACCTACAACACCTGGATCTTCCTCGGAGTCATCGCTGGTGCCGGTGTCGGTTATTTTGTCTCGTTCCCCCTCATACACCGGCCGGCGCCGTACTCTGTCAAAGACTGATTCATCCTCTGGGACGAGCCGATGACTCACCTGGACGTGGTTTTACAACACGGGACAGTTCAGAGGTCGTATGATCTCCACGCCCGGCTGCGATTCTTCGTTTTAAGCTGCTGAATTATAAAAACTCATTTAGTGTCCCACATGCCTGTAAATGTCTCAGCTTGTTTTTAAGTCAGCTGACGAGACAAAAAGATGCATTTCACTGACACAGCTAAAAAAAACTTTTATTCATGTTTTTATTTTTTACACACTAACGTTGGAAATTGTACAATAAATAAATGATCGCAAGTTTGAACGTTGAGGAATTAAAGGGTTGAAGCCAAATCGTGCACTTTTGTTTGTAAAACCTTTGAAGCGTCTGAAAACATGGAAAAATAAAGATGCCTCAAACATCCTGTTGTCTAATAAATTAACAGAATTTGTTTATTTACAACGTTTTGTGTTTTCTTCTCAGCGGTGTGGAAAACAGGTTTGAGATGTTAATATCTTACCTGCTGTAGATAGATGAGCTAACAGCTGGTCCGCCAATAGTATTTTTTCCTTTTGGCAAACAGCAGCAGCTAGCTGTAGCACTTCCAGTGAGATAACTAGCATCTTAAATTTGTTTCAGTCACTTTGGTCTAGAATAAACTTTACGCAGCTGGCATGTTTCTGAATATTTCTACAACCACTTCAGCAGAACCATTGGGCTCTGTGATTATTGAAAAGCTGAATGAACGCGTAGAAAAGAGATTTAATGTTAAAATTGTGCCTTTTAAATAAAACTCACTATTCAGCCTGAAGCATGTATATGTCCCCAGAAAAGTCCAAAAATTAAAGTTTATCAATAATCATGACTGGTTGAAACATGGAGGCCACTTGCAACAACAAACAAAAGAAAATGCTTAGAGTATATATTTTACAAATATATTTCCTGCGGGATCTATAAAGATAAAAATCCTGAAACTGTTCAGTTCGTCCACAGCGCCCCCTGCTGGTCAAAGAGGCTCAAACAAAAGTTTTAAACATGAAAATAACGATTGGACTCGATCGAACAGCTCAAAGTTGAAACTCTCGTCGGGACAGTCCTGTGAACGTCATGTTTACACACTGAGCTCTTAAACTAAATAAACGTCCGTGTTTTCGGTTATTTTGGCCTCACCGTTGGCGATGGGCTCGGCGTCGTTGGTCGGGGACTGGAAGCCGCTGTCGTAGTGCGAGCTGCAGTCTGTGGCCGGGGGCTGGGACTCGTCCTCGGACTCTGCCGTCGAGGCCTCGATGGCGTGTTCGCTGTCGTCCTCCTGCACCGCCAGCTCCATCTCCTCGATGGCTCTCTGGATGGCTTGCTCCTCCTGAACATCCAGATCAGCTTTCTCCTCGCCTCCCGTCAGCTCCAGGAGTGTCTGGGTGGGCGACTTGTCCCGCAGAGATTTCTTGGCGAAGTCCCCGATGACGGTGGTGACGTGGGTCACCTGCTCCTCCCTCCCGTCCTCCATGGTGATGGTGCCGGTACTCGTCTCCGTCCCGCTGGTTACGTCAGTCAGTTTCTCCTCCGGCACCGGCAGCACCACCTCTACCATCGGATTGATCAAGTCCCTGATTTCATCCACGCTGTCAGGAGACAATGGATCCTCAGACAGGCCTAAACATTCTTCCTCCTCCTCCTCCTCCTCTTCTTTACTCCAAGGTGCAACACTGTCCTCCTCAGGGATCAGATCCACCCCTGGGACCTCCAGGCAGGACTCGTAAGGAAATGGCAACCCGTCCACTTTGATCATGGACACCACCTGCCTGCGTCTCCCCCCAGAGGCTCTTCTCTCTTCAACATTGGCGCCGACACTTCCATCGGGATCGTCGGCTCCAAATTTAGTGGCCCAGTCCACCTGTGGGGTTTCCTCAAGAAGGTGGAGGTTTGGGTCGCTGTTGCTTAGAATGATGCTGTCCCGGTAGAGGTTGTGTTTCCTCTGCACTGCTGCTTCCTTCACAGCTGGAACAATAAAAACATTAATCAGACATGTTTAACTAAATACTATGTGTTTTATAGACCATTAGTTCGCTGTGGCGACACCTAACAGGGACAAGTCTTACGAAAAAAAAAAGCCCATCATAATATAGTGTTTTTAAGACCATTATAAACAACATACTATAGTATTTAAAAAATACTATAGTATAACTTCTAAACTGATGAAAAAGACACATACTATAGTATGACTTCCAAACTGATGAAAAACGACAAATACTATAGTATGACTTCTAAAATGATGATAAATGACACATACTATAGTATGACT